CTGTGGTTGGTTGTTCTTAAAGCCTGGTGAAGTAAAAACTATTGTAAACTCACATCACGCAGCAGTTAGAATCTTATTATTATTATATATACAGTACGGGATAGCAAAAAATATTTAATTTTTTAGCAATTGTTAAATATCTAATAACTGTAACAAATAATTATTTTAAAAATCTTTTTTACAGATTTATTATTTATAATCTAAACTACAAATCTGTAAGACAGATTTTTAATATCTTGCTTTTTACAAAAATTATAAGAGATCAAAGTTTGGTAATTTTATTAATAAAGCAAAAATTTTACGTAAAGAAATTAATCAATCATATTTAGTACAAGTTACATGCTAGCAATTTTATTGGTTAATATTTATTATTAAAATTAAAAATTTGGTATTTACTATATAAAAAAAATAGTTTATATATTTTTTTAACCAATTAAAATTTTTATATAAAATTAGCCAATTAAAATTGATTAAATAATTGTAAATTTGGTACTTCGTATAAAAAAATTGGATGTTTTTTGCTGTCCTGTACTGTATATATATTATAAATGTTGCAAATAACTGATTTAACAACTCTATTTTTAACTATGTAATATACTCACCGACATCTTCAGATAACTCATGCAATAAAACAATATTTACGAATCTGATACGATGTAGAGACAGGAGATGATATAAAGGAGGTAGCTAAAAATCTGTCTAGAACTACAATAGCAAATATAAAACTAGATCGTAACAATAATGAGAAGTCAAAAAGATCACAAATTAAAATTAAAACTATTAAAAGGATCTCGAAGCTATTCTATTGGAAATGGCCTATTGAGGGCAGGTATAATAGATATATTAGTGCACGTTCACTACCTCATATTGGAAAATGGACTAATTTTTTATTTGCATATTTGAATAAACTTTAAAATGTTTCACCTCAACGACCACAACCAACTAAATCAGAATATACAATACCGAAGTCTGCTTGGACAATTTTAATTGATAAAATCGAAGGTATTGAATTATATTCGTATAATAATGATTTAATATACTAAAAAAAATGATTCTAATTTGTTAAAAACTATAAGATAACATCAGTATGGAGCAAAACAATAAAAGCGAAAGCAAAATGAAACAAATAGTAAGTAATAATCTGAATATATATATATGTCTTTCAACCTTTTATTTATCTAAATAATTTTTTTTAGATCCTTTAGTTATAATATCATTACCAAGGTAGGTATAAAAAAAAAAACTAATAGATATTATAATTGGTTCACTTACTAATTTATATATCAGTTTGATAGATATAGGATTTCCGTTGTCTAAGGGATGGGCGCTAAAAGGCAACCAAAAGTTGGGTAACAGAGATAGTATTAGAATTAAAAAAAACATAAAATATATGTTAGAACATTTTTTTTGAACGGAAATCGAAGAAGTCAAGATAAAATAAGCACACAGGACATGTTTAATGAACTCCTGAAATATGTTAAGAGCAGAGACATAGAAGAGGAAGATATTCCAAAAATTTCTACAATACAAAATTGGTTAAGCTCATATGCTCGTGCTTTTAAACAAAAAGCAACAGACAATGAGCTTGAGTTGGGTAATTTAAAACTTCACTCATATAACATTTCACAAATCTAATGGGCGCATAATTGAACATTATACCATTACTTGCTTTACTTTTTTGCATTTTGATATTTAAATAGAATATTAGATATTAATTAGTTTATTGTTAGCTTTTGTAGTATAAGATTTAAATAAAATAAGTTTTAAAATGACAATAAATTTATATCAATAAAGTTAAACCACAAATACCTTATGACAAATAATTTACCTATGTTATGGTTTGTTTGTATGCTAGGCTGTATGAAGCAAACGGTGAAACCCAAAGCCTTCCAAAGGATCAAATCTTATAAAGACTTAAAATGTATAAATTTCTAATGTTTATATTAATAAAGAAAGTGTTTTCTAATCGATTGACACAGTAATACGGTAAACCCACCAGATTAAACAAAAGAAACTATAAAGTTCACTCCAGAGCAAAGCCGTGTTTGAGTGTTGGGATCTTTCAAATGTCAGTAATACTAGAATTACTCAGAAATATTTATATATAATTAGATTTCAATGCTATAAAGCATTGCACTCAGTACCCCTTAGAATTATATCCCCCCAGATTAGGACTGGATATATTTCAATATTATCATGCGAAAGTTCTGACTTATACTCAGGTAAAAATTAGGCTTGCAAGATTAGTAATATTCAATAAAAATGAACTACTGCCTAAAGCTCTGTATCTCTCTTGAATTGTACCCTTCTTTTCATATGGTACCTTCTAGGTTGAGTACCGTGTTTTCATATACAGTGAAATCTCTATAAATATACCCTCTTATAAGTGCATATTCTCTCTATACAGTAAAATTTCTATAAGTACACACACTTAGGACCAAGCTTTAACAGCATGCACTTAGAGACTATAAGAAAAAGTGTGCTTATGAAGGTTACAGATATATATTTTGGTGTGCATTTAGAAAGGATGTGCACTTATAGAATCTTTATAAACGTACTTTTTCTTATAATTCTCTAAGTGCATGCTGTTAAAGCTTGGTTCCAAGTACATGCACTTATAGAGGTTTTACTATATAGCCTGGTTACTGAATGCAGCACCTTATGATGAATTCGAATTCTTACGTTATATGTATCATACCCGATTGCAATTTGCATATATTTCAACAGATTTATTGATATCAAAACTAAATACTAGTCCTAGGCCTAAAATATAAACCCGCTTTTCCAATACTAATTCAAACAAGTTAGTGTGGTTTCTTGAGAAGTGTATTTGCTAATATACTTTTTCACCTATTGATTCAAAGCTACCACCCGAATCTAACAAGATCAACATAATATTCTTGGAAAGTGCATCTGCAAAAAGTGTTGTTCTTGCATACTATGTTTGCTAATCTCTTCAGATCCAAGATTATGCCCCAATATTTAAAGAAGTTGGTATGTTGCTTTCATATTGTGCATTGTTTGAAAAGTCAAGTACACCTAGATAGTACTGAAACGACAACTATAAAAAAAAAAATTGAGCTTATATAATACAAACATTTGTATGCTCACATTGTGTATATTAAAATCTGCTATAGTTAAGATCTTGTACCATTGCAATGTGGAATAGTAAACAATCTATTGAATCTGTCTCTTGCTGTCTAAAAATCTAAAAATTAAAAAAAAAACTAATAAATTAGTTGTAAAATAAGCCAAGAATGAGATATTACGAATTATCATGATAACTAATTAATTTAGGGTTTACTTAGTAAATGCCGCGTGCTTACTGAGTGAAGTCCTTCAAAAAAAAAAGTAATATCTAATAGTCTTACAATTAAAAGCTTATGGTATTATTCTATCATTTGTGCTACTTTAATACCATATTTGCTTAAAAAATTTTAGACTTTGCTTATAAACTAAAAATTTCAATTTGATATATATCATAAGTAATCTGTGTTACATCTTAATAAGGAAAATTCTCTAATTAACTGGCAGATCATCAATTAATTAAATTTTTAAATTGGTATTAAGCAGAGATAATATATTATTTTTGGAGCTGCTGCAGCTTGTATAATCTTGTATAACCTAGATAATCTAAGATGACACAAGTGTGGCTAGTGTAGTTTGTAGCTAGTATAGCTAATATGATACAAAAATTAGTTACATATTGTGTAAAGTGTTGTATAATAGTTTCGAATTTGTATAAAATAAAAGAGACCAATAATTTTTTGTAGAAAATTTATTACTGTTTAAAGAAAAATTA